CTGCCTCTGAGAGTGCCCATTAGAAGGAAGTCAGATTAGAAGTAGAACCAACATTCAAACCTAGCTACCCTGACATAACATGTGGGCATCCCAAATGGCAATGTAACAAATTCGCCAAATACACACCCTTATAAACTTTGTCATTCTTTTTTCAGGACACAATGTGTCCAATTGTATTTTTCTTTGCATTAACCTGTTTGGGATTATGTAAATTTCTTGAATATGTAAAACCTGTCTTCCCATATTTGGGAAGTTTTACCCAATTATTTCTTCATTTTTTTTCTGCCTGAATCTCTCTTCTTTTTCTGGAATTACAATTACGTTATATTAGATGCTTTTAAACCACAACCACTGAAGCTCTGCTCATTTTTAATATTTTTATTGCTTTAGCTTTCAAAATAAAATAGTTTCTACTGATTTATATATGAGTTCAGTGATTCTTCTGCCAACTCCATATTACCTTCAAGCTCATATCATATACTTTTCTTCTTTCAGATATAATTTTTAATTCTAAAATTTAATTTCAGTTGATTTTTTAAACTTTCTATTTCTCCATTCACACTGCTTTCCTCTAAACACCATGAAAATATTTCTATATTCAAGTCATTTTGCAATTTAATTATTTTTTTAAAATTTGAGAGTCAAAAGAATTTGAAAACATTCATTTATGTGGTAGTCAACTGTTAATTTTTGCATTTTTACCACAGTATATAAACAGAAGGTAGTCTGAGGTGGTTTTATGCTGCCATATTATGAATGGATCTCTTATGAGTTTCTTTTTAACTTCTGTGACACAGGATCTACAGAAGTTGAATTTGTTCTTTAAATTTTATTGGTAGAACTGGGATAATAAAGGATAATTAAATCGGTGGCTTCAAATGAGAAATTTACTGTCTACAGTTCTTGAGGCTAAAATTCTCAAGGTACTATGAAAACCATATACCATCTTCGACTCTAAAAATCATTCCTTCCCTCCTTTTTGAGCTTCTCATGATGGCCGGTGGCTGCACCAATTCAATTCAAAGTCTGGTTCTGTGTTCAGATGGTACTTGCCAAGTGCATCTTCACATTACCTTCTGTGGATCTCCAAGTTTCCCCTCTTTATAAGTACCAGTCACAATGGATTAGGGTTCACCCTAATGGACTCATTTTACCTTGATTATCTGCTAACAACCCTATCACATAGCAAGATCACTTCCTGTGATATAAGTGGTTAGAGCTTCACAAGTCTTTGTGTAGGGACACAATTCAACCCATCACAGTTTCATTTCCCCTTGGAAACATTTTTAAGCAACCATTAGCAGAAGTATTCTGAGAGTAATCTAAAAGATAGTAAATCACTTCATAAGTTTTCTATTCTATGAATATATCCCTATTGGTCATAAAAGAATGGCAAGTGACCACTAAAACCACAATATTTAGTATCATTCAAAAGTATTCACTACTTATTTTCAAAGAAACATAATGGTGGAAGAGCTCTTAAGATTTTATGACAGAAAATCTCAAAAAAAAAAAAAAAAAAGGTGGGGGGAGGTGGACGGCAGTGTGGCTTAGCAGGTAAAGCCACTGTTTGCAAAGCTGGAATCTCATATGGGCACCAGTTCCAGTCCTGGATACTCCACTTCCAATCCAGCTCCTTGCCAATCCATCTGGGAAAGCAGCAGCAGATGGCTGAAGTGTATGGGACTCTGAACCCATGTGGGAGACCTGGAAGAAGCTCCTGACTCCTGAATTCGGTCTGGCACAGCCCTGGGAGTTGAGGCCATTTGGGGAGTGAACCAGCAGATGGAAGTGCTCTCTCTTGCTGCTTCTCTATCTCTATTTCTCTTTCTCTCTCTGTTGCTCTTCCTTTCCAATAAATAAAATAAATCTTAAAAAAAGATTTTACAATAGTGTATGTTTAATATCAATGCCTTATTATAATTCTAATTATATGGATTTTTTAATAAGGCCCTCATCAATATTATCAGTAGGTCAAATCTTTTCAAAGTACACAAATTTATAAAAAATTTATACTAAACAGCATAGTATATGGCGGGAGAAGAAAAGAAAGGTCATCGATAAGGAGGGTCTATAAAACACGGAATGACATTTGAACCTACTTTAAAAGTTTTAAGCTATTAAAAATTTGCACAAACCCAGGTGATCTCAATTCGTATCAAATCATCAAACTGAATAATATAATGATCCTAGGACAACTGAAATCTTACAATTAACAAAATAGTAAACAGTGCTATTTTCGTTTAAAAAATATTACATGATGAGTCAAGAAGTTCTGAGTGCAAATCTGAGTGAAACAATTACCATCACAACATACTCTTCTAGTCAGGAAGCAAAATAGTTCTTTAGTGATTAGAAGCCTTACATCTGCAACTGAATTTATTCCATCAGCCAAAAGACGCATTTATGCTGTCACCATGACATTTTCAGAAGAGTTTAAATTACAAAACTTGAGACAGCTTCACAGCAATTCTTTTTCTAAAATATTTTATTAAAGATTATTTATTTATTTATTTGAGAGGTAGAGTTATAGACACTGAGAGGGAGAGACAAAGAGAGAGGTCTTCCATCTACTGGTTCACTCCTCATATGGCGACAATGGCTAGAGCTGTGCCGATCTGAAGCCAGGAGCCAGGAGCTTCCTTTAGGTCTCCCACATGGGAGCAGGGGCCCAAGGACTTGAGCCATCTTCTACTGCTTTCCCAGGCCATAGCAGAGAGCTGGATTGGAAGTGGAGCAGCCGGGACTCGAACTGGCGCCTGTAAGGGATGCCAGCAGTGCAGGCGGAGGATTAACCTACTGCACCACGGCGCTGGCCCCTCAAAGCAATTCTTAATTTAACCACCCTGATCTGATGGCCCAGTTTAAAAAAAAGATAAGATACTGGCTGGCGCCCCGGCTCACTAGGCTAATCCTCCGCCTGCAGCGCCGGCGCCCAGGGTTCTAGTCCCGGCTGGGGCACCAGGTTCTGTCCCGGTTGCCCCTCTTCCAGTCCAGCTCTCTGCTATGGCCTGGGAAGCCAGTGGAGGATGGCCTAGGTCCTTGGGCCCTGCACCCGCAAGGGAGACCAGGAGGAAGCACCTGGCTCCTGGCTTTGGATCGGCGCAGCGCGTTGGCCGCAGCAGCCACTTAGGGGGTGAATTAACAGAAAAAGGAAAACCTTTCTCTCTCTCACTGTCTAACTGCCTGTAAAAAAAAAAAAAAAAAAGATACGATGCTTAATAGAAGAGAACTCTTTCACCAAAATAGAAAACAATTCTTTTAAAATTGCATTACCTTAATTTCCTTTCATAAATCAAATGTACCAACCTGGGGATTAGAGCATTTTATCTCCAGTGATTCTAGGTCAACATGAAGACAGACAACAAATGAATGTCTAGTATCAGGTCCCGTAGCGAGGAGTTTCTGAGATGTGACAGCTAGGGTAGAGGTACAGCCCATAGGCTCCACTAAAGAAAGAGTCACTTGTTTTCCAAGGAGGGTATATATGCTAAAATGATGCAAGTTGATGGTCCAAGGAAAAGCATCACCTGATAAAGAAATTGGGAAGAACAAACACACAATAGTCACTTTATAGTAAACTACTGTTTGTACCTGAAATACAAAGTACTCAATACTGTGTAATGAATAGCACATATACTAGAAACAAAATTGCTAAACAATTTATGTGCTATTAAAAAGTTACCTTTTAAAATGTTTATATCTATAACATACAAAATTACTAATTATAAACATTATAATATATGAATAGAAGTGAAAGAATCTGATAACATAAAAAGAAAGTCTAATTTCCTGTTATCTCAAACTAGTTGGTGGTACTGTGTAGCTGCTGGAAATGCACGCATTATACACTGGAGACCCTACAAAATGGATTAAATTAGGAACATGCTATAATAATTGTGTAGACTAATGATGACGTTAGATTTGGCTGTGGAATGAGAGAAGGAAAGAATAAACAATCTACTATGGTCTGCTGGACCCAAATCATGTAGTATGCTTATTAAAGACAGAGGTTCCTTCAATTTCTACTTAATTAGAATATCTGGCAGTAAGACTCAAGATGCATTTCAATATACTGGCTGCATGTTCTTTATTATCAGCTATGTTTAAATGAAGTACACTTTATCAAAAAAATTAGCATGCATAAATTTCAGGATTAAAATCTAATTTTCTTCTTTTATATCTTTACTTTTATTTATTTATTTATTTATTTTTTTTGACAGGCAGAGTTAGTGAGAGAGACAGAGAGAAAGGTCTTTCTTCCATTGGTTCAACCCCCCAAATGGCCGCTACGGCCGGTGATGCACCGATCCGAAGCCAGGAGCCAGGTGCTTCTCCTGGTCTCCCATGCGGGTGCAGGGCCCAAGGACTTGGGCCATCCTCCACTGCCTTCCTGGCCACAGCAGAGAGCTGGACTGGAAGAGGAGCAACCGGGACAGAATCCGGTGCCCCAACCGGGACTAGAAACTAGGGCACTGTCGCCGCAGGCAGAGGATTTTAGCTTAGTGAGTCACGGCGCCGGTCTACACCTTTACTTTTTTTTTTTTTTTTTTCTTTTTGACAGGCAGAGTGGACAGTGAGAGAGAGAGAGAGACAGACAGAAAGGTCTTCCTTTTGCCATTGGTTCACCCTCCAATGGCTGCCGCGGCCGGTGCACTGTGGCCAGCGCACTGCGCTGATCCAAAGCCAGTAGCCAGGTGCCTCTTCTGGTCTCCCATGCAGTTGTAGGGCCCAAGGACTTAGGCCATCCTCCACTGCACTTTCCTGGCCACAGCAGAGAGCTGGACTGGAAGAGGGGCAACTGGGACAGAATCCGGCGCCCCAACCGGGACTAGAACCCGGGGCGCCAGCGCCGCAGGCGGAGGATTAGCCTATTGAGCCACTGCACCGGCCACCTTTACTTTTTATTAGCCTACATTAAACAAGATTAACTCATTAGTAAACTTTATAGACAAAGCCATTTTTTTTATTATGGTTATAGATAAAGTACTCAGTCAAATAACTTAGAAAAAGCTCACGAAGAATTAGAATACTTATAAACATTTACTATCGTGATGGTAAATCTTAGAAAACCATGTTCCAGGACGGCACCACGGCTCACTAGGCTAATCCTCTGCCTTGTGGCGCCAGCACACCGGGTTCTAGTCCCGGTCAGGGCGCCGGATTCTGTCCCGGTTGCCCCTCTTCCAGGCCAGCTCTCTGCTATGGCCAGGGAGTGCAGTGGAGGATGGCCCTAGTACTTGGGCCCTGTACCCCGTGGGAGACCAGGAGAAGCACCTGGCTCCTGCCATCGGATCAGCGTGGTGCACCGGCCGCAGCAAGCCGGCCGCGGCGGCCATTGGAGGGTGAACCAACGGCAAAAGGAAGACCTTTGTCTCTGTCTCTCTCTCTCTCACTGTCCACTCTGCCTGTCAAAAAAAGATAAAAGTAAATTATATATTAATAGAACCAAATTGCAAAAAGAAAAGAAAGATCTGAATTGAATGGCCCTAAAGTCCAATTTGAAGCTTTCCCCCAAATATTTATTAACTATAATGAGAATTGGGTGATTTTTGCAATGGAGAAACCTGATGGATACAAGTTCAAAATGAACATCACCAATAACGGAACATGTGAAAAGCATGGAGAACCTGATAGGATGCAAGCAGAAGAAAACACTGTGACTTCTGTGTTTCTGAGATGTACCTGCTATATACATGGAAGAGGAATATAATCATGAGGTAACATCAGACACACCCCACTGATCGAATATTCTGCCAAATAACTGGCCTTCAAAGGCCATGAAAGTCAAAGACTGAAATAGACCCAACACTGAAATAATTAAAAAGAAGTGATAATTAAACACAATGAGTGATCCTCAATTATATTTTTTCTATAAAGCATATTACTGGGACAACTGGCAAAACATTAAGTAGGGTCTAATCATGATTTAGAAATCTAAAAAATGGAGTAATACAAATAAACCACTAAGGTAAATAAGAATTATATGCGAAAATAGTCCTTGTGTTTCACAGATGCTGCGCAGTTCTCACATCAGTTTCCATTAAAACTCAGTAAATCCAACAACAGCAAAGTTTTAACTTACAAATGATCTCAATATTCCACTTCTGTCAAAATATTTTATTAAAGTAATAGGCAACTCTTTCAAAGAAGAAAAAACAAACCTCTGCTAGGCATAGTGCAAAAACCCATCTGCTCAGAGGTGTTGGCTGGATGCAGCAAATTACATCTCCAAGTCTCATTCCAAGTGCTCCCTAACGAAACTAAAGATGTTGATTTTATTTTTGACACGAACACCCCATACCAATTGGATCTGGCTATGTTAGAGATGGTCTCTCCTCCATAACAACTGAAATGAGATGACACATTTCAACAGTCCCTCACACTGAACTTTAGAAGTTCAAGTTCACTACAGAAGGCGCCTCCTCAAATCTATAGTGAGGATTATTCTTGTTCACTTTTAATCATATATTTCATGCTTCTCTACCCAATACTTTTTCAATTGTTTACGGATTTTGTAAGTCAGAGTTGACCTTTTCAAAGTTGTCTTCTATTTGCAATAATCCAAAATGATTCACTCTAAACAGCTTGAAATCATCAAAACATCTACAAGTGTACAGTAAGCAAGTATTCTGTGCCATGTTTTGTGTTAAGTGATAACATAGAGGTGAACAAAATATGCCTCCTGTTCTTTTCACTCTAAAACAGGAACTAGATGCTGAGTGAAATTGCTTTTTTTTTTTTTAATTGGGATAAAGGTGGTAGATATAATGAGTGAGGTGCAATAACAGGACAGAATTGGGGGATAGCATAAAATATGAGAAGGAGAAGGAAGCCTGGAGATCACAAAGGTGGAAGCCATGTTTGTAGCATACAGTAAGTCCTAGTGATAAAATACTGCTGCTCTTGTTCAAAGAATACAGAAAAGGCTACTGTGAACTGAGCTGCAATAAACACATGGATACAGAAAACTCTTCCATATGCTGATTTCATTTCCTTTGGGTATATCCCCAGGAGTGGTATTGCTGGTCATATGGTATATCTATTTTCAGGTATCTGAGGAATCTACTGAGAGAAAGGGAGAGACAGAGAGATCAATTTCTATCCTATGGTTCACTTTTCAAATGTCTGTAATAGCTAGGACTGGACCATGTCAAAGTAAGGAGCCTGAAACTCCATATAGGTCTCCCACGTGCTAGGGACCCAAGTACGTACTTGGGCCATCTTCTGCTACCTTCTGAGGCACGTTAGCAGGGAGCTGGATCAGAAGTAGAGCAGCCAGGGTCCAATCAGCAGCCATATGGGATGCTGGCATTGTAAGCAGTGGCTTAACTCTACTTTTCATATAAATAAATCTTTAAAAATTAATTAGTTAATTAAAGAGAGGCTGTAGGATGGAGCAAGAAAAAGAAGAGAGATGCATGAATAAAGTACAGTACAGTTCGTAGGAATTAAAAAAAAACTGAAATTTTCAGAACTGAGACAAGTCTAACTCACTCTTCTATAGTGATACAGATTATTTTTCTAAAGGACTACCAGAATCAACTTTCTCATTCTTTTAGATGTCTCAGAAAGCTTTAAGGTGCAAATAAAATGGCTCCATTCTAATGTGGTTGTATTCCGGATGATAATCCTGAATAATTTTTAAAACAATTAAATTTTAAGTCATATTTTCTGTTCAGGGAGTTGTACAGCATACCAAAATATTTCAATAAAAATAAGATTGAAGTATACAACCTTATGTATGTAATAAAGTATTCTTTGTGGTCCATTCCATGATATATCTAAAATACTGGCTTTAGAGAATTATGATTTTAATAGAAATTTAGAACTCCTAAATGAAAGGCAAGCAATACCAAAGATAAAGATAAAAGTAATCAGGGGATGGTGTTGCAGCACAGTTAGTTAAGATGCTGCTTACAGAAAATTCAGAAGAATCAAAATCATACCATGCATCTTTTCAGACCACAATGGAAGGAAGCTGGAAATTAGCAACTCAGGAATCCCTAGAGCATATGTAAACACATGGAGACTGAACAATATGCTCCTGAATGAACAGTGGGTCATAGAAGAAATCAAAAGAGAAATCAAAAACTTTCTAGAAGCAAATGAAGATAACAACACAACATATCCCAAAACTTATAAGATAGAGCAAAAGCAGTGTTAAGATGAGTTTATAGCAATAGGTGCCTACATCAAGCAATTGGAAAGGCACCAAATAAATGAGTTAAAAATGCATCTCAAGGATCCAGAAAAACTGCAGCAAACCAAACCAAAAACTTGTAGGAGAAGAGAAATAATTTTTTTTTTCTTTGACAGACAGAGTGGACAGTGAGAGAGAGAGACAAAGGTCTTCCTTTTCCGCTGGTTCACCCTCCAATGGCCGCTGCGGCCGGTGCGCTGTGGCCAGTGCGCTGTGGCCAGCACGCCGTGGCCAGCGCACCGCGCTGATCCAAAGCCAGGAGCCAGGTGCTTCTCCTGGTCTCCCATGGGGTGCAGGGCCCAAGCACTTGGGCCATCCTCCACTGCA